CACACACACATACACACACACACAACACACACACATAACACACACACTACACACACAACACACACACAACACACACTACACACACTATACACACACAACACACACACTACACACACACTATACACACACACACACACACACACACACACACACACACACACACACACACAACACACACACACACACACACACACACACCCTTTCTTTCTCTGATGTGTGTGTTTCAGTCGTGTGTGTGTTTCAGTCGTGTGTGTGTTTCAGTCGTGTGTGTGTTTCAGTCGTGTGTGTGTGTTTCAGTCGTGTGTGTGTGTTTCAGTCGTGTGTGTGTGTTTCAGTCGTGTGTGTCAGTCGTGTGTGTGTGTGTGTGTGTGTGTTTCAGTCGTGTGTGTGTGTCGTCGTGTGTGTTTCAGTCGTGTGTGTGTTTCAGTCGTGTGTGTGTGTGTGTGTGTGTGCAGTCGTGTGTGTGTTTCAGTCGTGTGTGTGTTTCAGTCGTGTGTGTGTTTCAGTCGTGTGTGTGTGTTTCAGTCGTGTGTGTGTGTTTCAGTCGTGTGTGTGTTTCAGTCGTGTGTGTGTGTTTCAGTCGTGTGTGTGTGTTTCAGTCGTGTGTGTGTGTTTCAGTCGTGTGTGTGTGTTTCAGTCGTGTGTGTGTTTCAGTCGTGTGTGTGTGTTTCAGTCGTGTGTGTGTGTGTGTTTCAGATTGTCGGAGGGAGGGCCCGTCTCTGCTGTTGGTGTTGAAGTGGGGGGGGGAGTTGACCCCCGCAGGTCGAGTCCAGGCGGAGGAGCTGGGACGAGCGTTTCGCTGCATGTACCCAGGAGGACAAGGTACAGGACCGCACCTGACACACAGGACCGCACCTGACACACAGGACCGCACCTGACACACAGGACCGCACCTGACACACAGGACACGCACCTGACACACAGGACCGCACCTGACACACAGGACCGCACCTGACACACGGGGGAGGACACCTGACACACAGGACCGCGCCTGACACAGGACCGCACCTGACACACGGGGGAGGACACCTGACACACAGGACACACACAGGACCGCACCTGACACACGGGGGAGGACATCTGACACACAGGACCACACCTGACACACAGGACACGCACCTGACACACAGGACCGCACCTGACACACAGGAGCGCACCTGACACACAGGAGCGCACCTGACACACAGGAGCGCACCTGACACACAGGACCGCACCTGACACACGGGAGGACCACCTGACACACGGGACCGCACCTGACACATGGGGGAGGACACCTGACACACAGGACCGCACCTGACACACAGGACCGCACCTGACACACAGGAACGCACCTGACACACAGGAGCGCACCTGACACACAGGACCGCACCTGACACACGGGGAGGACACCTGACACACGGGACCGCACCTGACACATGGGGGAGGACACCTGACACACAGGACCGCACCTGACACACAGGACCGCACCTGACACACGGGGGAGGACACCTGACACACAGGACCACACCTGACACACAGGAGCGCACCTGACACACGGGGGAGGACACCTGACACACGGGACCGCACCTGACACATGGGGGAGGACACCTGACACACAGGACCGCACCTGACACACAGGAGCGCACCTGACACACGGGGGAGGACACCTGACACACAGGACCACACCTGACACGGAGCGCACCTGACACACAGGAGCGCACCTGACACACGGGGGAGGACACCTGACACACAGGACCGCACCTGACACACGGGGAGGACACCTGACACACAGGAGCGCACCTGACACACGGAGGAGGGCACCTGACACACAGGACCACACCTGACACACAGGAGGGCGTGTGACTGTTGTGTGTTGTATGTGTGTGTAGGGGACTACGCCGGGTTCCCGGGGTGTGGTTTGTTGCGGCTCCACAGCACCTACAGACACGACCTGAAGATCTACGCCTCCGACGAAGGAAGAGTCCAGATGACGGCCGCCGCCTTCGCCAAGGTCAGACCCGCTTCGGTCCTGGAGCGGTCGGAGGGAGGTCGGAGGGAGGGCGGTCGGAGGGAGGTCGGAGGGAGGGCGGTCGGAGGGCGGTCGGAGGCGGTCGGAGGGAGGGTCGGAGGGAGGGCGGTCGGAGGGCGGTCGGAGGGCGGTCGGAGGGCGGTCGGAGGGCGGTCGGAGGGCGGTCGGAGGGCGGTCGGAGGGCGGTCGGAGGGAGGTCGGAGGTCTGGTTCAGTCCTGGCTCTGATCCTGACGTGGTTGTGGTTGTGGTTCTGGTTCTGTAGGGTCTGCTGGCGCTGGAGGGGGAGCTGACTCCGATCCTGGTGCAGATGGTGAAAAGTGCAAACATGAACGGACTCCTGGACAACGACTGTGACTCACTGAGCGGCTGCCAACACCGAGTGAAAGCCCGACTCCACGAGATCCTCCAGAGAGACCGCACCTTCACCGAAGACGACTACACACAGGTACACACAACAACACACACACAACACACACACAGACACTATACACACAACACAGACACTATACACACAAAACAGACACTATACACACAAAACAGACACTATACACACAACACAGACACTATACTCACAACACAGACACTATACACACACAACACACACACAACAAACACACCACAGGCTCCACGAGATCCTCCAGAGAGACCACACCTTCACCGACGACGACTACACACAGGTACACACACCAACATACAACACACACAACACACAACACAGATTTATTGGTGTAATCTCGTGTTTTTCTCGGTTGGTGCAGTTGGCTCCCACCAGTGGAGCGTCTCTGATCAACTCGATGAAGCAGGTGGAGAACCCCGTCCAGACCTGCGACCGAGTCTACGCCCTGATCCAGAGTCTGACCGCACAGATCCGCACACGCATGGAGGACCCCACCTCAGCAGGTAACTCCACCCACCTCCACCCACCCACACCTCAGCGGGTAACTCCACCCACCTCCACCTCTGCAGGTAACTCCACCCGCTATATCTGACCCTCCTGTATTCTCCTGTCAAACAGGCTGTTAAGCAGGTCCTCACAGAGGTCCACACAGAGGTCCTCACAGAGGTCCTCACAGAGGTCCTCACAGAGGTCCTCACAGAGGTCCACACAGAGCTGGTGGTGGTTCTCCTGTTTCTCTCCAAGAGTCTGAGGAAGTGTCTCCTGAGATGTTCTAAGCCTGGACTAAACCAGATCTAACCCCGGTCTTTCCCTGGTCTTTCCCTGGTCTTTCCCTGGTCTCTGTCCTTCAGACCTGCAGCTGTACCACTCAGAGTCGTTGGAGCTGATGTTGCAGAGATGGTCCAAACTGGAGCGAGACTTTCGGATGAAGAACGGTCGCTATGACATCAGCAAAATCCCCGACATCTATGACTGCGTGAAGTACGACGTGATCCACAACTCCACCCTGGGCCTGGAGGACACGCTGGAGCTGTTCAGACTCAGCAGAGCACTCGCCGACATCGTCATTCCTCAGGTAAAGAACGAGAGATAACGGTTCAGGAAAGGTTCAAGAAAGATTATTAAAGGTTAAACTCAGAAATGTTTGTGTTTCAGGAGTACGGCATCAGTCGAGCGGAGAAGTTGGACATTGCGTACGCGTACTGCCTCCCACTGGTCAGGAAGATTCAGATGGATCTACAACGAACACACGAGGACGAGTCTGTAAACAAACTACACCCACTGTGAGTCCTGCTCCGGTCCTGATCCGGTCCTGGTCCGGTCCTGGTCCGGTCCTGGTTTGGTCCTGGTTCAGTCGTGGTCTGGTCCTGATCTGGTCCTGATCTGGTCCTGGTCCGGTCCTGTTTCAGTTCTGTTGTGTTTCAGATATTCTCGTGGGGTCTTGTCTCCGGGTCGTCACGTCAGGACTCGTTTGTACTTCACGTCTGAGAGTCACGTTCACTCTCTGCTCTCACTCTTCAGATACGGAGGCCTGCTGGACGTGAGGCCCACACCAGACCTCACACCGAACCTCAGACACACACGGGACCTCAGACACACACCGGACCTTAGACACACACACTGGACCTCAGACACACACACAGGACCACACACTGGACCTCATACACACACTGGACCTCAGACACACCGGACCACACACACACACACCGGACTTCACACTGAACCTCATACACACACTGGACCTCACACTGGACCTCACACTGGACCTCACATTGGACCTCATACACACACTGGACCTCACATTGGATGTCACACTGGACTTCATACACACTGGACCTCACACAGGACCTCATAAACACTCTGGACCTCACTCACACACTGGACCTCACATCAGACCTCACACATACACTGGGCCTCACACACACCGGACCTCACACTCACACACACCGGACCTCACACTCACACACACCGGACCTCACACTCACACACTGGACCTCACACACACAGGACCTCACACACACACAGGACCTCTGAGGACCGGTCGTTGTGAGGGCCGGTCGTTGTGAGGGCCGGTCGTTGTGAGGACCGGTCGTTGTGAGGACCTATCATTGTGAGGACCTGTCGTTGTGAGGACTCTGTGAGGTGTTTACTGTGTGTTTGTTTCAGGAGGAGAAGGACCAGCAGTGGAAAAGAGCCATGGATTATCTGAGCGCCGTGTCCGAGCTCAACTACATGACCCAGATCGTCATCATGCTCTACGAGGACAACAACAAGGTGAGAGGCCAGAGGTCAGAGGTCAGCTCTGACCCCCACCGAGCACAGGCCTGACCTCTGACCCCTGCACAGGCATGACCTCTGACCCCTGCACAGGCCCCTGACCCCGACCGAGCATTAGGTTGGAATACTTAAAATCATAATATTGACCTAGAACAACTTTATAAAGAAATAAGTGCGACAACTTCAGCGTTAGAAAATTGTGGAGTCTAATGGACCAGGACTGGACCAGGACTAAACAAGGATTAAACCAGGATTAAACCAGACTGTGGGCCCGTCCTGTGGAGAGCTGCACATCTCACTAGAGCAGAGAGTTTTGCAGCTGTAAACGGGGGGAGAGTGACAAAATTGTGTCTTGAAAGTTTCCTCAAACTTGAATCAGTCCAGATAAACTCGAGGGTCAAAAAGGAGAACCTGAAGCTCTGTGGTGTTTGTTTGTGATGTTTGTTTGTGATGTTTGTTTGTGATGTTTGTTTGTGATGTTTGTTTGTGATGTTTGTCTGTGATGTTTGTGATGTTTGTCTGTGATGTTTGTGATGTTTGTTTGTGATGTTTGTCTGTGATGTTTATTTGTGATGTTTGTTTGTGATGTTTGTCTGTGATGTTTGTGATGTTTGTCTGTGATGTTTGTGATGTTTGTTTGTGATGTTTGTGGTGTTTGTCTGTGATGTTTGAGATGTTTGCGATGTTTGTTTGTGATGTTTGTTTGTGATATTTGTGATGTTTGTGATGTTTGTTTGTGATGTTTGTGGTGTTTGTCTGTGATGTTTGAGATGTTTGCGATGTTTGTTTGTGATGTTTGAGATGTTTGTGATATTTGCGATGTTTGCGATGTTTGTTTGTGATGTTTGTGATATTTGTTTGAGATGTTTGTCTGTGATGTTTGAGATGTTTGTGATGTTTGAGATGTTTGTGATTGAGATGTTCGTCTGTGATGTTTGTTTGTGATGTTTGTTTGTGATGTTTGTCTGTGATGTTTGTTTGTGATGTTTGTTTGTGATGTTTGTGATGTTTGTTTGTGATGTTTGTTTGTGATGTTTGTGGTGTTTGTTTGTGATGTTTGTTTGTGGTGTTTGTCTGTGATGTTTGTTTGTGATGTTTGTTTGTGATGTTTATTTGTGATGTTTGTCTGTGATGTTTGTTTGTGATGTTTGTTTGTGATGTTTGAGATGTTTGTTTGTGATGTTTGTGGTGTTTGTTTGTGATGTTTGTTTGTGATGTTTGTCTGTGATGTTTGTGTGTTTGTGATGTTTGTTTGTGATGTTTGTCTGTGATGTTTGTTTGTGATGTTTGTTTGTGATGTTTGTGGTGTTTGCCTGTGATGTTTGTTTGTGATATTTGTTTGTGATGTTTGAGATGTTTGTTTGTGATGTTTGTGGTGTTTGTTTGTGTTGTTTGTGATGTTTGTCTGTGATGTTTGTTTGTGATGTTTGTTTGTGATGTTTGTCTGTGATGTTTGTTTGTGATGTTTGTTTGTGATGTTTGTGGTGTTTGCCTGTGATGTTTGTTTGTGATATTTGTTTGTGATGTTTGAGATGTTTGTTTGTGATGTTTGTGGTGTTTGTCTGTGATGTTTGTTTGTGATGTTTGTTTGTGATGTTTGTGATGTTTGTTTGTGATGTTTGTGATATTTGTTTGTGATGTTTGTGATATTTGTTTGAGATGTTTGTGATGTTTGAGATGTTTGTTTGTGATGTTTGTGGTGTTTGTTTGTGATGTTTGTTTGTGGTGTTTGTCTGTGATGTTTGTTTGTGATGTTTGTTTGTGATGTTTATTTGTGATGTTTGTCTGTGATGTTTGTTTGTGATGTTTGTTTGTGATGTTTGTGGTGTTTGCCTGTGATGTTTGTTTGTGATATTTGTTTGTGATGTTTGAGATGTTTGTTTGTGATGTTTGTGGTGTTTGTCTGTGATGTTTGTTTGTGATGTTTGTTTGTGATGTTTGTGATGTTTGTTTGTGATGTATGTGATGTTTGTTTGTGATGTTTGTTTGTGATGTTTGTGGTGTTTGTCTGTGATGTTTGTTTGTGATGTTTGTTTGTGATGTTTGTGATGTTTGTTTGTGATGTATGTGATGTTTGTTTGTGATGTTTGTTTGTGATGTATGTGTTCCTGTGTTCTCTTCAGGACCTTTCGTCAGAGGAGCGTTTCCACGTGGAGCTGCACTTCAGCCCCGGCGTGAAGGGGGTGGAGGAGGAGGACAACCCGCCCCTGGGCTTCGGGTTCAGGCCGGCGTCGGCGGAGGTGGCGCAGCAGGTGGAGGCGGCGCAGCCCGGAGGAGGGAGCTTCGGCCTGGGCAGGAGGAGGCACCCGTCCCCCCTGCTCCACAACGGGCCCAAACACACGGACAGCCTGGAGGACCTGAGCTCCGACAAACCCAGGAAGGGAGACGACGGGGACAAACCCGAGGAGGGGGGGGGGGCCGCAGACGGCGCCGAGAGGAGCGAGACCGACCGCCACGTCCCTCTGTCCGAGCCAATCAGCATCCAGAGGAAGTCCCCCCTGATACGCAACCACAAGACCGGATCTATGGAGGTGAGAGCCGCTTTAATATTACAGTTTATAACACAACCAGACCAGATCTGTGGAGGAGAGAGCAGCTCTAATATTACACCAGATGCACCTGTGGAAAGTTGACTCCATAGAGCTCTGATCTGTGGAGGTGACTCAGAAGATGTCCTCACACATGACTCTGAAACCAGAACATGACCAGAACATGACCAGAACATGACCAGAACATGACCAGAACATGACCAGAACATGACCAGAACATGACCAGGACCTGACCAGAACATGACCAGAACATGACCAGAACATGACCAGAACATGACCAGAACATGACCAGGACATGACCAGAACATGACCAGAACATGACCAGGACATGACCAGAACATGACCAGAACATGACCAGAACATGACCAGCGCTGAAGCATCTCTCCATTGCCCCCTTCTGGCTGAATGAGGGATTCCACGTGTCTGACCTGTAGGTTTTGTTTCAGGTTTTGTCGGAGACGTCCTCGTCCAAAGGGGGCAGTTATCGTCTGTTCTCACTCTGCTCGCGTCAGTCTCCTGAGATGAAGCAGAGCGGCCTCGGTGAGTAACCCCACCCCCACCCGCCCGTGGACCAATCACGGAGAGGAAGGGAAGCAGGCTCTGTTCTGATTGGACCAACTCTCTGCTCGTCTCTCAGTCGCTCACTGGGTTTTCATCCACACGAGAAAACATGAAAGCAGCCTCCAAGTTTGGACCTGGGTTAGTCCAGTTCTGAGCCCTAGTTTAGACCTGGTTTAGACCTGGTTTAGACCTGGTTTAGACCAGATTTGACCCTTGGTTTAGACCTAGTTTTAGATCTGGTTTAGTCTTTGGTTTAATCTATGTTTAGTCCTGTCTCAGAATTGGTTTAATTCAATTTCAGACTTAAGTTTAGTCCTGGTTTAGACCTGGTTTAGTCCTGGTTTAGTCCTGGTTTAGACCTGGTTTAGACCTGGTTTAGTCCTGGTTTAGTCCTGGTTTAGTCCTGGTTTAGTCCTGGTTTAGACCTGGTTTAGTCCTGGTTTAGATCTGTTTTAGTGTGGATCTAAACCCACTGATCCTCAGTGACTGTTTGCATGCCCTGCCTCCTTTCCTCTCCTGTCTCCTCGTCTCCTCGTCTCGTGTGTCCTTTGTGGGAGGGGCTGTTGCTGCACTGACTAACCCGGCGCCCCCTGCAGGCTCTCAGTGCGCAGGACTCTTCAGCACCACTGTCCTCGGAGGCTCCTCTAGCGCCCCCAACCTGCAGGACTACGCACGTGCGCACCGCAAAAAATACTCATCCGCCTCGCTGTCCTACAAAGACGGTACGTAACCCGCCGCTCGCCGCACGCACTCAACGGGCTGCACCCAGCGACCCAGAACTAAACCAGAACTCAACCAGAACTCAACCAGAACTCAACCAGAACTCAACCAGAACTAAACCAGAACTCAACCAGAACTCAACCAGAACTCAACCAGAACTCAACCAGAGCTAAACCAGAACCATAGACTGTATATAGAAATGGACTCAGGAGCCACATGAAGGTCGTCGAGGCTGTGAGCGTCATAGCAACCAAAGAGCCAATCAGGAGCCAAGCTGGTGAAGGTCACGCTGTCAATCAAATGTAGAGGGAGGGGCCTCGGGGAAAGAAGGCGTCTGATTGGTCTCAAATTTATCCAAAAAAACACAATCTTAAATATAAAAACACGATCTCAAATATAAAAACACAATCTCAAATTTATCCAAAAAACACGATCTCAAATATAAAAATACAATCTCAAATATAAAAATACAATCTCAAATATAAAAACATGATCTCAAATATAAAAACACGATCTCAAATATAAAAACACAATCTCAAATATTTCCAAAAAACACGATCTTAAATATAAAAACTCGATCTTAAATATAAAAACATGATCTCAAATTTAAAAACATGATTTTAAATATAAAAACACAATCATAAATATAAAAACACGATTTTAAATATAAAAACACGATCTCAAATTTAAAAACTTGATCTTAAATATAAAAACACAATCTCAAATATTTCTCAAAAACACGATCTTAAATATAAACACATGATCTCAAATTTAAAAACATGATTTTAAATATAAAAACACAATCTTAATTATAAAAACACGATCTTAATTATAAAAACACGATCTTAATTATAAAAACACGATCTTAAATATAAAAACACGATCTTAAATATAAAAACACAATCTCTACGTCCACACGTATGCACAGTCTATGGTTGCAGCCCGACTCCAAATCAGACTCTGGATCAGACTCTGGATCAGACCCGGTCGTGTCATGTGACCCCCCCGTCCCCGCCCCCTCCTGTCCCCTCCCCCTCCTCATCGTCGTGACTCAGGTTCAGCTGTAAGAGACATGCAGCGAGCGCCGCCATGTTTGTGTGGGAGACGTCCATGTTTGTGTGGGAGACGTCCATGTTTGTGTGGGAGACGTCCATGTTTGTGTGGGACGCCTCCATGTTTGTGTGGGAGACGTCCATGTTTGTGTGGGAGACGTCCATGTTTGTGACCTCCATGTTTGTGTGGGAGACGTCCATGTTTGTGTGGGAGACGTCCATGTTTGTGACCTCCATGTTTGTGTGGGAGCATGTTGGGACCATCCTCTAACATCACTGTATTTTCAGTTTGATCTTCTTCACTGCATGAGTCCGTTATGTCGTGTGGCGCTTCAAGTGTCTTCACGCATTTTTTAAATAATTTATTTCATTTTGGATCATGTTTTATTTATTTTATATATATACATATTTTTTTTATCACAAACCAAGTCAAGCACTGTCCATGACCCTACGACCTCATTTAAATAAAACCAGGATGTAGGCCACGCCATCCACGCCCACCTGACAGTCACCTGACCAGTCACCTGACCCGAGCGCCGCAGCTGATTGGTTGGTAACTCCAGACCTGTGTTTCTTGCAGAGTTGTTGTCTATGCCGGCAGTAAAGCGATTTTCTGTGTCGTTTGCAAAGTTTCCGACCAATGGTACGTCTCTACACTTTCTCCCTCCTCTGTCTGCATGAACCTCCCACACGCTCATCCTTTTACATTCATTTCTCATTGTTTTGGTTGTTTTATCGCAGTTTTTTACTTTTTTTTCCACATTTTTGGCGTTTCTAACCCACTCACTCGTCACGGGGTCACGACATCAGCGCTCGAATGCAGCCTTTTTGTCTCCTTGTTTCCTTTCCTCATCTGTCTCCTCCCTCCTTCCTCTGGTCATTCAGAACGGAAAGAAAATGTCTGCCATGTTTTGAGTTGTGACTTTGTGGTTTAAGATCTGCTCGTCTGATTGGTCGGTGTCTGTGAGGGTGTCTGTGCTGTGCTCTGATTGGTGCGTTCTGGTTTTATTAATGTTCTTTATCTAAACTTGTACTTTTTCACTTGTGGAAATGTTGTTTTCTTTATGTCATTATCTGCACACAGCACAAGGATGATCTAACATTCAGGCAATGATTCTGTGTTTTAGTTTTTTCTTATTGCATTTATACATACAAATGATTAAAGTAATTATTCTAAACATACAGAAAAGCAAACAGATAAACGATAGACATAAAGAACAGTAGTTACATGATTCAGATCATTTAAGTTCTTTCTAAACGTAATAAACGTTTCTAATGATTTAAAATAATATTTTACATTAGTATCTGATTCTTCCACTCTACGTCACTGATGACATCACCACACACAGACCAATCAGATCTCACACTGATGACATCACCACACACAGACCAATCAGATCTCACACTGATGACATCACCACACACAGACCAATCAGATCTCACACTGATGACATCACCACACACAGACCAATCAGATCTCACATTGATGGAGCGACTCAGATGAATCTGGTTCAAATCTCACCACATTCACAGTCAGCAGTATGCGTGGAGAGTCTTGCCCAAGGACACAACAACAGAACTTTGTCTGGGCAGGAATCTAATCCTCCAACCACTGAGCCCCTGTGATGAATGTCCTCTCCACTCTTCACCCCCGGGTTATAGCTCACTGCAGTATTATACTGGAGTATTATACTGTTGTGTAGTATTCTGACAGTATTATACTGTAGTATTTTAACAGTATTATTCTGTAGTATTTTAACAGTATTATACTGTAGTATTTTAACAGTATTATACTGTAGTATTTTAACAGTATTATTCTGTAGTATTTTAACAGTATTATTCTGTAGTATTTTAACAGTATTATACTGTAGTATTTTAACAGTATTATACTGTAGTATTTTAACAGTATTATACTGTAGTATTTTAACAGTATTATACTGTAGTATTTTAACAGTATTATTCTGTAGTATTCTGACAGTATTATACTGTAGTATTTTAACAGTATTATTCTGTAGTATTTTAACAGTATTATACTGTAGTATTTTAACAGTATTATACTGTAGTATTTTAACAGTACTGTAGTGTACTGTCATGTGTAGTAAGACATGCGTCTCTAAAGGGGGCGCTGCTCTTTAAAGCAGAGCCGAGGTTCTCTGTGATTGGTCCGTTTGAATACTCCTCCATGATTAGTCTATTTGAATACTCCTCCGTGATTGGTCCGTTTCATGCCGTTGTGACATCCCTTTCCTGTGATTGGTTCATTTGCTCTGAAGCTCCTCCCTCTGGTCACAGGCTGGTTTTCTATTGGTCAGTCCAGCGTGGCCCCTGATTGGCGGTTTTGTTTCGGTTCCTCCGCTGTGATTGGTCGTGCCCTCTGACTCTTGCTCTGTTCTGATTGGTGCTCTGGTGCAGGGACTAAAGATGATTCTTCAGCTGTAGCCCCGCCCCTCTGGTGTTCTGCTGCAGGTATGACCGCACCTGGACCAATCGGGTGCTGTGTTTGTGCTCTCCGTCCAATCAGAATGAGGACGAGTAACTCAGAGCTGCGCTTCTGTCTAATCCTGAAGAACTAATCCAACAATCCTCCATTTTAGTCACACTGGGAGGGCGTCTAATTGCACCTGTTTAAAAGTCCCATAATCCCCTGTGCTATTCATATATTGATTAAAAACAGAATTCTGTGGATGGAGGAGCGTGGTGGTGCTGCTGCTGTTGTTGTTGTTGTTGTGACGCCGTGTGGACTCTTGGATTTATTGCTTTGATTTGATAATATTATTATGATGATGATGTTATGTTGGTTTGTTGTGGGTTTTGCTGCTGCATGTCATCTGCGTTTGTTCAGAACAGTTTTGTTGAAAATAACATTTTCTAAAAACAATCTCTACAAACAAAGGCTCCGCCTACAGGGGAGGGGACAGGGGGGAGGGGAGGGGACGGGGGGGAGGGTTAAATCTTTACCTTTAGCCTCATCCTCTGCAGACTCTTCAGACTCATGTGAGTGACTCAAACCTGCTCTGCCCTTTGTCTCTCTCTCCTCTCCTTTCCTGTCACTCCCTTTTTCTTTCTCTCTCTCTTGCTCTCTCCTCCCTCTCTTTTTCCTTTCCCTCTTTGCCTCTTCTTGTTCTCCTTCTCTCTTTAGAGGAGCAGCATTTCTCTCAGTTGTTGAGGCGTTTTTCATCTGGTCCCGTCCCTTTAAGCCCCGCCCTCGGCCCTTTAAGCCCTGCCTTTGGCCCTTTAAGCCCCGCCTCCTTGTGTTTTGGCCCCTCCCCTGCCTGCTCAGGCCCCTCCCCCTCTCCTCCGGCTCACGCCGCCCCCCGCAGTCACCTGTCAGTGGACGCGGGCCCCTGCAGACACCTGTCGGTGGACGCGGGCCCCTGCAGACACCTGTCGGTGGACGCGGGCCCCTGCAGACACCTGTCGGTGGACGCGGGCCCCTGCAGACACCTGTCGGTGGACGCGGGCCCCTGCAGACACCTGTCGGTGGACGCGGGCCCCTGCAGACACCTGTCGGTGGACGCGGCCCTGGCTCATCACCTGCACCTGTGCTCGTATCACCTGCGGCTCTTCAGGAACTGCCTCATCTCTGGACGAGATCCAATTGAATTCCTCTGCTACGGTCAGCCCCGCCCCCGCGCCGCTCTGCCCAATGACTGCGCCTGACCCCGGTTTGCTGCCCTCTGATTGGCTGTTCTCTAACCTGTGCCTGATGCCTGTCTGTGACTGGTTTTGAAGTGTCGCTTGCTGCTTTGTTATTGGTCGCTCTGACTGCAGCTGCCGTTTGATTGGCTGTTTGAGGATTGTTGATCTGTGATTGGTTGAGTGATGATTTAGTCTAATCCTAAACGCACTTCTCTACCTGCACCACCTACACCACCACCTGCACCACCACCTACACCACCACCTACACCACCACCACACCTACACCACCTACACACCACCAACACCACCTACACCACCACCTACACCACCAACACCACCTACACCACCACCTACACCACCACCTACACCACCACCACCACACACCACCACCTACACCACCTACACCACCTACACCACCACCTACACCACCAACACCACCTACACCACCACCACCACACCACCTACACCACCACCTACACTACACCACCACACCACCACACACCTACACCACCTACACCACCACCCACCACTACACCACCACCTACACCACCTACACCACCACCACCTACACCACCACCAACACCACCTACACCACCTACCACACCACCACACACCACCTACACACCACCACACCACCACACCACCACCACCTACACACCACCACCACCACCTACACCACCTACACCACCACCACACACCACCTACACCACCAACACCACCTACACCACCTACACCACCACCTACACCACCTACACCACCACCTACACCACCACCTACACCACCTACACCACCACCACCACCACCACCTACACCACCACCTACACCACCACCACCACCTACACCACCACCTACACCACACCACCTACACCACCACACCACCACCACCCACCACCACCTACACCACCTACACCACCACCACCTACACCTACACCACCTACACCACCTACACCACACAACAAAAACACAACGGCACGAGCGGGAATAGAACCAGCAGCCTTCTGGTCATGAGTAGGGCTCAACTGATATGGATTTTTTTGGATTTGATGTGATACAGATAAAAGGGGCTTTGGAGCTGCCCTCAGCCGATATAAAACTCAGCTGTGAGTGTGTGAGGTGTTTGTTCAGGGACATTTCCTGTTCTTCTGTACGTCACATTTAAAGACACGAGGTCGACTCTCGGTGTTTGTGCATCACACTCTAACATGTAAACAAAGCCTTTAGTGGTAAATGCTGCGCCCTGGTGATTAATGACATGTGTAAATGTGGATCATTCACACATCCGTGCAGGTTGTCACATGTCACACACTAGAGTCACTTCACACTAGAACAATGTCAGAAAACAGAGTGTTGATGTGAGAACGACAAACAACCAAAACACAGACACACACACACTCACACACACATACACACAGACACACTCACACACACGCACACAGGCTCCTCTCACATCACAAGTCTGCACATACAAGTGTCCTTTTAATCCTGACTAATTATGATAAAAGAAAAGAATATAATCCAGCATGTGGACAGCAGCTGGGACGGTCGTTCGTGCGCGGGACAGGGACAAACTGCACTGAAGTTTTGCTAAATTACTCGACAGAAATGAGAAATGGCAAAAGGACAAATTCAATTTGTCACCTGGACAAAAGTTTATTTTGGTCAAACCTGTTTTTCTGAGCTCGTCCAAGCTGCTTCTTCACTTCAGACTCTGGGGACAGTGTCTTAGAAACAGATTTGACCAAAATAAACTTTTGTCCAGGTGACAAATTGAATTAGTCCTTTTGCTGTGGCTTCCA